TCCTTCCCTCTTCTAACAATATTTTTATTTTCCTTGTCTCCTGCAGTAGCAGGCTTTCGTAGTCCCCTTCCCTTCCTACCTGCCTATTTGTTCTCTTCAAATGTCCTGTAAACCATTAAAAACAACAGAAAACTTAGTGATAGGTGTGAAAACGGGGCCCTGTGAAGCTGTCTGATGTGTGCCAAGAAGAAATATAAGAGGAGTCAGGTTCTTTCCTGAAAATGGGATTTGCAGAGTGGAAATGTCACATCCATAATCACTTTCATGTGGTGGAACTGCTGCTACCCACCACTGAAGTAACAGCATCTGTTAAACAATGCGGTTTTGGTTTGGTTAAATCCAGCAGGTTGCACTCACTTCAAGACGACCCTTGTTTAAAAACATGAGTGCAACTGCTCTGATGCCATAAATGTATTAAAAGCAAATGTATGCTCGGCCCAGTTTCAGAGTCCCACAACTGAACCCTCTTCAGGGCTTGTTTATGGGAACTTGCTCAGGGAGCAAGGAGAGAATACGAAGTGTGTGTGTACAGGTATATGGGTTTGTGTTGGGACAGGGTTGCTGGGAGGGCGAGGGAGACCCCTTAGCAAGCAGGACACTCTCATAATGATGAGAACTCTTTTTGGAGAGCAATCTGAAAAAAAATTACAGTTAAGGACTGGAACAAGGACCCAGGGTCAACTCTCTCCTAATAACTAAGCAAAGCGTCAGCAATTTTTGTTACACTGTCAATCCCATGTCCTGATCTACTTCTGCCAGGTCTGCTACTTTCAGGCATCCAGAGATACTTGAAGAGTTGCCCCAGTACGGGATGAGGGAGCCTCCTTTTGCTGTTGTCTCAGAGTTTAAACAGCAAGGGCAATTTGGCAGAGGGGGAAATGGTGATTCCAAGGCACTTCCAGGAATTCTGGTACTGCCAGGTGGAAAAATAGGTTAGATGTGCTGCTGCTGTATCTAGTTCATGCTAATGAAAGAAAATAAACCTTGCATGCAAAGATGAGCTGAAAATGCAAAATTAAGTAGAGCGCTAATTTTATGAAGTCTCTGATTAACTTTGTCCTCCACTTGGAAGAAGTCCTACCAGCTTTGATCTCTAGATCAGTCAGCTAGTGAAGTAAATGTGGTCACTTAAACTAACAGACTGGAGTTTTATACCTTACTCTTGGGGTAGTCTTTCCTCAGATCCTGTATTTGATGAGCATCCAAAAAGCTCAGACTTCCCTAACTTAGAAATACTGTGAGAGGAGAACTTGGGGCTTTCGCTGGGAACCACAAGAATTGTGTTTCTGTAGCTTTGCAGCTAGTTCCAGCCACGTCAACAAGTAAAGACTTGTCTAGATTTTGTTTTCCCCCCTTAAGCAGGGTGTGTGGAATGACCACTTTCCCTTTTTCCTTCTCCTTTTCTTTTTAAAGCCCTACGTTTAGCATTTTCTTTCTGCTCTGGCTGCACGTTGGGGCCACTTCATATTTCATCCCAGGTGGCTGGCTCTGTTCAAATGGCCTCGCGAGTCCGAGTGATCTTTAACTCAGAATAAACCTCCTACATTTGGAGGGGAGAAGGGGGAAGTAACCGAGATACCGTACCTCACCCCGCCTGTTTTGAACAATTGCAAAGATGTTGGCGGAGCCAGGGTTTTAAAGAGGTCCCTGGGGCAGAATAAAACGCGCAGGAGCTGGTGAGGTAGTCTCAAAGTGTTGCCAGCTCTTTGAAAGAAACACACATGTGTGTGCATGTGTCCACATAAGATGTTTTTAATTTTGGAGGGATGAGGGATCCCAAATAAAGCGTGCTGGGTTTTCACCCCATTGATACGATGGTGAGCTCAGATGGCTAAATTTAGTCATCCAGACTGAACAGTCTTGGATTCTAAGACTGCATCCATCTCTGTCCAGAAACTAGTTGCATACCTCCTCCACTGTTGCTGTTGAATCAGCTGTAGGCTGACAAGATAAGGCTACTACAGCACTGCCGTATACAGCCTGTGGTCCTGTTCTGGCACTAGGCAGCTGCAGTGGATTTTGTTTTTAAAAAAAAATCTACCTGGGTAGGGGTTCTCCCTTTCCTACTCAAAAAAAAAAAAAAAAAATAATCAGTAAAGGATCATTTCTGTAGTGGGGCTATTTTACAGGAAGGGACAAAACATAAAAGAATCTTTCGGTCAAAAGCACAGGATCATAACCAAGTATTTTGACTTCAGAGTGATTTTTTTTTTAAGGGCCCAAGGTCTGCATAAATAGCTTCTATCCTCACCTTCACTCATTACTCTAGTATTAAGTCTTTCTAGTACAGTCTTCAAGCAAAGACCAAAAAGCCCTTTAACTTGGATAAGGAGATAATTCATGTCTGTTCCTGAAAAGACTAATAAATGCAGCACCGCTTAAATGTTCAGTCAGTTTGAAATATAGTGGATTATTCCTTCTCTGTCATTTCTAAAAAGAAGTGGAAGTGACATTTTCAAGTCTGCCTGAAACTGGAAATACATGTGAGAAATGCACAGAAGCTGAAATGTGCATAAGTCATTAATGGGGGCAAAGTAGGTTACGATCTTTGCACATCTTTTCCTTGCAAGCCTGAAACTAGGTATCTCTGTTCAGTGTGCGGCTTGGCCTCTGAGGAGGTCTTGGAAATTTAGTGGGTCCACTGTGTGTCTCCACTTTCCTCTGCTGAGGCTTTCACTCTGACTCTGGGTACGCACCAAGAGAACTTGCTGTTTCTTGGGTGAGTGTGTTGTAAAAGAAAACAAACTACATTGGACAGGTCCCAAGCCAGAGAATCTGAGATGGTGCTCACAGAGGAATGACAAACATCAAGACGGGATGTCCTCCTTCCTTTTCTTTGAAATAAATACACTTTTAAAATAAACAGCCTTTGGGATGCAAGACGGTGTCCTCCAGGATGCTGCAAACAGCAGCTCCTTGTAACCAGCATTAACATGAATGAAGAAAATTTATCACTGCTTCACCTTTTTGAGCTTCAGCAAAAGCGGTGAGCACAAATGGGCTGAGGGTTTCCCTAGCCAGGACCTTGCATCACTTTCTTTCCACTTCTCTTCAGTAGGGCTTATGTCTTTACGAGCTAAACCGCGTGACCGTGTCACCTTCTCTTACCAGCTACATGTCACAGCATCCTCCCCACACTCCCTCTGGGCTCCCCTCATGCCAGAAGCATTTCTCTCTCGGAGGCAGGACAGAGAAGCTTGAGAAACTGAGCCCTGCCTGCTTCTCGTGATTGAGGCAGAGGCTGGTACCCATCACAGAAGAGCGCTCGTGGGCCAGCTAGAGGCTGCCAGAACTTGCCATTCATGGCTTTTTGCAAGACCCTCCTGCAGGTTTTGAGCGTGGCTTCACTCTGGTGGAAGCAGCCAGGAGGGTCTCCTGGCTTTGATGTGAGGTGCCGCAAGACCTTGTCCCGTCCTGGCAAAATGAAGAGCTCGCTTCTGTGCGTGCCTCTGATCGAGTTCTAGTCTGGTGCCTTCTTTGGCAGTAACTGTGATTAAAGAAAGGGTGCTAATTAATTCTTCTCATAGCGGGATTCCCTGACAATGTGCTGATTCCCTGACAATGTTCTTACTGGAATAATGCAGAGGCTCCAGGGCTACACTTGTAGGTGTTGTGCGAGTGGAGAGCAGAGTTGAGGGTTATATTACTCAGGTGATGATAACTATGCTTTCCTGTGCATATACTTGGTTGGGCCTTATAATAACTCCCATCTGGCCACGACAATTATTTTCCCTGCTTCCTGCATGGGAATTCTCCTTTTTATCAGTGCCACCTGCTTCTCAAGAGCTCTTCGGTAGATAGGGTCCAGTTCAAAGAAACCACATACTGGCTTTGTGCTGCACCCCTACACACCAAGGGCTTGCTCTTTCTTTGAGAGACGGTGCTCCTCAGGACGCAGGCACTGGTGTCTGCGGTGAGGTTTCTGAACAATGGCTTACAGTCACTGGTGGCCACATCTGTTCCAACCCAACATAGCTGTCTGCTTAAGGAAGAACCCCAGGCTCCCTGCAGCTGCATCACACGTGGGTTTGTTGCAAACCTGCGCTTCAGAGGGCAGCAGAGCATTCATCCCGCCATCGGGGCGGGAATTACCTACCAGGGGCTAGCACAGAGTCCTGCCCTGTACTCCTTACTCCTGCGTTTCCTGGTGCAAAGGCCTTATAACTCCTTACATATGCGTATCTTAAGTAGCTTGAAGCTGGTGCCAATATTGACTACGCATTTCTAGAGAATCCAAATGTCAGCCCAGGAGGAGGTAAGTAAGTGCGTGACACTGGGGCAGTTTTAGTAATGGGCATAGATTTAAGCTTCTGAGTGGGTTGTGTAGTATGAAAAGGGGAAATACAACGTCTTGGCATGTTCTGAAATATTCAGCCATTGTATTTCTGCCCAAGAAGCAATAGCTGAGGTTTGAGTTACTCCTTCTCTGCAACCTACGAAATGCTGTTCCCCAGCGACCCTAAGTCGAAGGCAGGTAGGGTATGCCCGACCAGAGCGGGCTGCGGGTTCCGTTCAACAACTGTTTTAAACATTTGGGACTGCCAGCCAGAGTGGGAAGTACTGAAAAGCAGATGAACAGGACTGGTAATCTGATTCTCCCTGCTCATAATTGACCTAATTGGTGTGGGCATGTATCAAGTGTTGTTTTTAAAACAACCACCACCTATCATTTGCAAAGATTAAAAATGTGCCAAATTTTTTGCGTGCCTCTGTCAAAAGCCCACAAGTCTATAACTTGCTGCAGAAGGGAACATCTGTGTCTAATTGATAAAATTCAGCCTTCATAATGGATGATTCAAATGAGCTAAACAGTTTTGTCAGTCATTCAGTTGTGGATTATAAATTAATCAGAAAGCCTTCCCCCCGCCTCGGATCTGTCTTGCGTTTCCTGTCCCTTGTGGGTTTTTTTTCCTGGTCTCAGAGCAAGTCTTGAATCGTTTCAGTCTCCCAAGCCATAATAAATGAACACTTCCCCCACTGCCATGACCTTTCAGCCATATTTCTGGAATGCACACATTGCACAAATCCCCCCCTGCCTGGGGTCGGGGATGCAGGGTACCTGTTGGGATTCAGCTAGATATTGCAGCCAAATGGTGGCCACGTGGCTCGTAGGGGAACAAGAGGCATTTGAGCTTGAATCCGAGGCTCCTCGGATGCGTACAGAGTCTGGAAGTTATTTCTCTCCACATGATGCCAGGTTCCAGTGAAAATGCGGGCAAGCAAGGGAGCCTATCCTGAGAGCGGGGGCGAGGGCTTTATGGGGGGATGCACTCACCCATTCAGCACTTTGGCGATTAATCCCACAAGATCCACTGAGCTGATGGCTGCTGCTTCTGGGTGATAACAAAGTCTTCTGGTAGTAGAGGTGGGGCTGTTGAACACCTCCAAGCGCCTTCTCAGTGTCTGAAAAAAGGCAACTAGATCAGTTCACATATTCCTCGAAATAAAATCTCAACCCTCAATCATTGCTAATTTAAGGAGGTTTGGGCCAATCTGTAATCCTCCCACATCCAGGAGTACTGCCCTGCAACAGCAACAGTTCTGGTGCGCATTCTGGCTCTAAACCTGGGTACATATTTTAGTTGAAAAGTTAGGCGTTATTTACTGTTTCTTGCTATGCAAATGTCTTGTTTAAAAATGAGCTTAAAAGACTAACATGGGACAAAGGCAAGCCTGCACTGATATTCTGGGACGGAGGGAGGGAATATGAGGGAAGTCACAGAAAAGCCCCTTTGCTTCTTCCAAGTGTACAGCAATCCTCTCCCCTAAGGGAAGAGAAGCATATCACTGGAAACCAGCTAGTTTTCGGTAAAATCCAAGTGACAACAAATGTGTCTGTAATTCTGACGTGAATTCGCAAATGGATCTAAATGTTAGGATCTATAGCCTCTTAAACTGACATAAAGTTTTGATGTTTTCACCTGGATTTTTACCATGCATTAGCTAGTTCAGAGTAAACCCCAAAACTTTACCTCCTAGAGAAAAGATCAGTAAATTTCTATTACTTTATTTTGATATTACAGGCTGTGGGACTCCTAAGGCATCAGACAGAGAATAATATGTTTTTGGCAAATGAATGTGATTTCTTTTCCACTTGAGACTTCAAGCCATAGTCCAGCCCAGGTGCCTTAAATGAGAAGCCTGTAGTTTATTCCACTATAATTGACATAAGCTTTGATTTAAATGACACTTTTAAAAGTCAAAGAATGGATTTCAAGTTGAATACAGAATACAATTTCCACCCACGTTGCTGTTTTGGTCCTTTTCCATTGCCATCCTGCCATCCACCCTGAAATCACTCAGAGTATGAAAAGCACCTGCTGGAAAACAAAGGTCATGCCTCGCAGAACAGGTCTGGCTTTTTGTTTTTATTTAAGGGTTTTTAACATTTGGCATTGCATTTTTTTTTTCTTTCCATTTCAATATGAGGAAGGGGAGGGACTAAGAGAAAAAAAATCTGGAGTATTTTGATCTTTGTGGCTTTATAGGGACTTCATAAGCTTTGTTTGTTCTACTGCCAAGCTTCCTTTGTGTCTAAATAGATAACAGACCAAGACGACTAATCATTTCTAATAAAAAAACCCACCAAACCCAAAGCATTCCCTTTCTTTTCCAATTAACGCTTGTAAACCCATGCTCCTAGACAGGGCTTGTGACCCAAGTACTTCCGACTTATTTTTTCCCCCCTTTCAAAAACAATTGCCCAAGGCACAGACAGGGCTCGGTGCTCTCCAAATTTATGAAAGAATCTTGAAAAAAGGCTCTGAGAGTGTCTTTGGGAGAAGGTAGTTGTAAATACGACGCGTGAAAGCAGCCTCACGTACCTTTAGAGAAGCAGCAGCATGGTAGTTAGTGCCACCGTTTATGGGCTTCCTTCCTCGTTGGATTCTGCAGGCTATTTCTGGAGAAAGAAAAAAATAGCAAATGTCACATGGGACTATCGCTGGGTTATGCCAAACACATGCTGATTGCTAGTTTACTAGTGAGCGCTGATGTCTACTATCACTATTTTGAGAGCCTTTGCCTTTGAAGAAGAGACAATTTACCCAATCAAACCCACCTAGGTTTTACTGCCTGTTGAAGTAAATAAGGCTGAATGTCTTTGAAACAGAAGCTGAGTTGAATGCATGAATCATGGGTAGTCATCAATGCAAGGTTGTTTTTTTTACATTAAAAATGTTTTTGTAATGAAAATAACACAGAGATCAAGATGCTGTGACAACACAATTTTTCTTTAGCTTCTTAAGATTTTTGTCACACAACCAGCTGTTTAGGACAACACATTCGTGTGGTCAAAAAGTTGTATGTTAGCCAACAGCAGAAATGGATCCTGCTATGATCAGTAGTAGAAAGTGAGAATTGTGTGAATTACTCATCTGGGTTATAGTTCTGTGAAGGCTGATCACTCAGTATGCACTTCCACAGTCTCTAAGAGTGGCTACATATTAGATTAATGCTCCAAATGGGAAAGCAGAAGTTAGACTTGTACAAGCTCAACGAAGTCCCCTTTCTCGACGCTATCTTATACCAGTCCCTGAAGGGAAAGAAAAGAGTAGGACCTTCAGTAGGTCTGGCAGACTGCGTCCTGTATATCATCTCTGGCAAGATGTAAGCTTATTTGTTTTATTTCCCAGGTGTATTATTCCTGTGGTGCGGTGGTGGAATCGATGGAAAGAGGCCTGATTTTATCACCGGGTTTTCCAAACAACTACTACCCCGGGACACACTGCGTTTGGCAATTTTTCATTCCCATGAGAACCCATCTCATCTTGGAAATTTTTGACTTTGACATTTTTGAGAGCTCTGGTGAAACTCCAGCCCCCTGGGATGGCTTTTCAGCCCCCACTAAAACAGGAAATAAGGACATGCCTGCTCTTGAGGAAAACCTAGACTTTGCTCCCCGTACCACAAAACCCTCTCTCCAGACCTGGATGTCGAAGGCGGCTCAGAATCTGAGCAGCACGGGAGATCAGTCAAAGGACCTCGCTAGTCACCTGGCTGAACTTCCAGGAACCTCCTCAAAAAAAGATGAAGCCAAACAAGCATCTGAAGAAAACCAGTCGAAGCAGATGAAGGAACCCAAAGCGATTACCAAGGCTCAACCAGAAGAACTGCCATTCCCTGGGGCTGGTGGTGCCACAATGTGGAGGCAAAATACCAGTGGCCTGGAAACAGAAGATTTGAAAGGGAAACTCTTGCTTGCCCACCGAGCTGCTAGCGAGAGAGAGGAAGTTACAGGAGAGAGCTGGACTCTTCCCACAACAGTACTGCCCGTGGAAATCTCCTCCAGCCCCCAGTCAGCAGCGGATGTCTGTCCCCATGATGTACTATACGTTTCTGATCTCATCACGTTTTCCTCTCGCTTCTGTGGACCAAATTTACCTTTAAACAAGACCATGGTCTTTGGTTCGTCTCTGGAAATGGTTGAGGTTATCATGGAACTGATCACCACCACAGACCGGGGCCGAGGCTTTGCAATGCTCTTTGAATACAAGAACATCACCGACCCTAACACTGTAGATGCTGTGAGGCAGGAGAGAAAGGAAAACATGATGATGCTGGCAATTATAACAGGGATCGTCGCCTTTGCACTTGCTTTGCTCTCTGCCCTCTGCATAGCTTGCAGGTAAGATGATGCGTATCTGAGCCTTTGAAGCATGGGATATTATCCACACAGGAAAAAGACCAGAAAACAAAGTTATGTTTCCTTTCCTCTGCTAACGCTTGCTGTCCTTTAAATGTAGTAAAGCGTGTGGATACAGAGGAGATCAATACCAGTCACTGCTCCTGCCCTAGGCTCCTCAGTTTTCTTTCCTAGTTCTACAGCTCCTGTGCCTCCAATTTATTTTCTTTTTCCTGTAAAAATACCCAAAGGGTGAGGACTTTCTTGGGCATTATTTTGTTTCAATGGCAGCGGTGCCTTTGAACCTCAGTTTTGGGACACTAACTGGCCAGTGGACAGATGCAGAAGAGAAAGATCATCCTTCCCGAGTCTCCCGAGCAGGCTGAGCTGCCAGCCACTGCGCCTCTTCACAGCCGTTCCGCAGTTGGACTCTAACCATCGCTAACACTCTGCAGAAAAGTAAACAATAACAGAAGTATTGCACTTAGAATTAAGAGTAAATATTATTTTCCAGTCTGTAGCATGTTTTATCCAAGAGACTGCAGACATTTTAATTCCAATGCACTGCATGCGTTAAGCAGTCATCTGCGCATCCCTGTGACTGCTAGGGAAGAGCCAAGAGCCAGGCTGCCGTACCTGTGATTGTCCCCAAACGTCACCCGAAATGACACCGTCAAGTGAGCTGATGGTCAGGATGGGTTTCTGATTTCCAGGTCCTGATGCTAACTAGTTAAGTTGCTAAAACCAGCCAGTGACAAAAGCACAGCTCTCCAGTCGATTGCTCTTGGTTTACATACTTGTTTTCTTTGTATCTATCAGGAGAAAGCTTTTCCGCCCCCCAGCATGTGTTTGCGTTTTTCTTACTAACTCCCTAGTGAAAACATTCCTGTAGAAACAGTGATTTATTTTTTTTCCTTCCAACAAAGTCAAAACAGAGCCCAAGCTCCCCAGGTTTTTGTCAAAACAAACAGTATTTTTCAAATGTTTTGACTTCAATGAAAACATCAGGTAAACTGAAACAAATACTGCCCCTCGCAGGGCTCCGCTCTGGTGACCGGCTGCCAGTAAGAGCATTCGTTTCCCAGTGGCAGCATGCAACTGGTCTGTCTGCTCTCTTCCTGCGTCGCGGTTGTGCATCCTCCCAGCCCAAAGGCCTCGGGGCTGCCCAGCCGCTCCTGGTCGCTGGGCTGGGTTTGGTAGAGGAACCTTGTTTTCCCTGTCCTTTTGGAGGCTGCATCCCTAGCTCTTGCTGAATAAATACAATATACAGGCCATCATACTGAGTATAAGAGAACGTGGGCAAGGTGGTGAAGCTTAAATATAATCTCTCTTGCTGTATATAGAAATTCCCGCTTTTGGGGTCTGAGCTTTTCATAGTTGTAAGAGTTAAACTTGCATGTGTTACATCTAACTAACCTTTTTTCCTTTTTAGAGAGCTTGCAGAGCATTAATTTAGACCACAATTTTTTGCTAGCTCTAAAGGAAAACGTCTGGTGGAAAATGTCTTCCAGATACCAAATACTTTATTTTTATACCCTTGCCAATCTTCAAAAAAGAGACAGAAACATGCTCCCTTCGCTATGGCAGCAGCCTGGGCTGATACACATGTTGAGTATGCTGTTCTTGCTCCATTACCCTTATTTAATTTCACTGTAACTATCCATGAAGCAGAGTATTATTCAAACCAAAAAGCACACCAGCAATCTGAGATTTCGCTGGCTGAAGTTACTCTGTAGCCTGTTAGAAAGTCAGGCCATGCTGCTCACATGCACAATTTGGCTTTTCGCTTGTCAGATGTTTACAAAATAAGGGAACAATCTGCTGTTGCTGACCAACAGAGAAAAACTGAACCCCTTTCTTTCGCCCCACACAAACGTTTGTATGTTCTGGTCACTGCAAATACATCCTACCAGGGGTCCTGTGGCGCAGGACCAGGATTAGAGTCACTTCTTTTAACACTGGCATTTATGCCTTTTCATTGCTCCACAACTCTTTTTTTAAAGGAAGATATACCTCAGTCAGCTATTGACTGTATACAAATAGAGACTATCCCTAGTCCTTTAGCCTCTTGAAAGGCCCTTCACTATCCCAGCTGCCTGTATTCCCCACGCGCTATACCAGGGAGGCCTTGATTACAATACTTTATTTCTTGTTAGACTTAAAGCATTTAAGTGAGGTCTGACACATGTGGAAGCGATGCCATGACCTGTGCTGAGTAACCTCATTCTTTCCCCTCCTTACTGCACTAACGGCTTCGAGGATATCGGTCTCTGGCCCCCGAACCGCTGGCACTGGTCGGAGCTCGCCTACGCTTCCCAGCTGCGGGGTTTTTGATGCAGCTCAGAATAAGACTGCAGAGGCCATTAAGCACATCTAAACTTCTTTTAGTTTGAGCCCACAAAACTCTGTTTTATGCTTTTCGGCCTAAATCGGGGCTTGAAATCGGGTGTCAAATATGCATTAGCCACAGCCTGTCCTCGCTGCAGAAAATGTCAGGACTGCAAGGGGTGGGCTGAGGGGAGAAACGAAGATGCTTTAACAACACAGCACGCTCAGAAATGGGACCAGCTCTCGGGACGCGGTTATACTCGTCCTGGCTGGAGCGTGCCATTGCAAAGGACGTTAATAGTAACCTTCAAGCTCTCGGCCTCGTAAACTTGCCTTTCACTTTCTTTTCATACTTTACTTGTTCCTCTGGTACCAGGTTTAGCTATGAGTTGTTGTTTTTTTTCCCATTCTATCTGCTGCTCTTGCTCAGCTAAAAGTAGCAGGCTCTGCCTTGCCAGGGGTAGAAATGGCCCTGGATGGGCTTGGCACCCACTGCCACTCCAATGCACCAAGTCGTCAGCAGTGTCTGCTCGGGCTCATTGCATTCAGCCAGGGCAAAGCTCTCTGGGGAAACTCCAAGTCTCTGCCACACTGCAGCTTTTGTTTGCTGTTTGGCGAGGGAATGAAAGCTTCAGTTGTTAGTTGGCCAATAATTCTAATTACTTTTGGCCACAAGGCCTGGCCCGAGTAATGGGGTATTTTTTATTTTCTTTCCCAAGCCCCAAGAACAACAGACATGTCCACCTTATTTAATTTTAATCCTGTCCAGTGCAGTCAGACTTTTGCTCGATGGTTGCAACCCATGGATTGCAACTGCATTTCACATTTGCATAGCCTGCCAACGCGACCCGTTTCCATATACAACCCCCTACATGCACAGCTATTTCATCAAGCCATCCTGTGCTGCCATCTCTCTCCATGCCAGCTGCCCTGCCAGCCGCTGCCTGCAGCCTGATCGTCACCTGGGGCTGAAACTTTGCCTTCGTCATGTAATGCCCTCCTAGAGAATCCTAGTCGCTTCGGGGCTAAAACCAGACCTTTCCTCTGCCATCCTTGTGCTAGGTGCAACCCAGAAATCCCTCCCTCCCTGCCTGTTGTAGCCTTGTCCTCCATTTCTGCCCACCTACACATCAGGCTGGTTTAGTTAGAGACCCAAGACAGCCCGACCTAGCTGGAGCTGCCCGCTGGGGAGCACAGGACAATTTTCACAAAGCTTCCAACAGACTTGAATTCTTTGGTTTACTTGAGAAGTTTGAAGCAACTTTTTTTTAAGTTACAACTTCTTTTAAATGATGGAAACTGGTGTATTTGCACGTTGCCTGTTTTATATCCATGAGCTGTGCACCGATGTAAATCGCTGGTCTCCTGGGTGGCGAGGTACTGCAGCGTGCCACGGGAGATGTAGTCCAGCTGGAGAATGAGCTAAAGAAAGACTAAGATCCCCAGCCCTGCAAACTATAGCACATCCCTCCAGGCACTGCGCAGCGGCTCTGAATCGAAGAAAAAACACTCTCAAGTTTCCACCAAAATTGTGGGCCAAATCTAGAAACTCTAAACCTTTGTGTGTGTTGGTTTTCAACAGTAAATCAAATTATTCAGTGGAAATCAGATACTCAATACCCAAAGTGCGATGAGGGAAGAAAAAGTTAAAATGGGGACATTTCAGCCAGTTACCGTTTTTTAATCCTAATTTAAACTTTGGGAAGAACAGGACTCTTCCTTCTCTTATTCCCCCTTATTCTACCATACCTGCAGAGAAAACTTGTCTTTGCCAGGGGCACCTTACTCTCCCTTTGGTTCATTCTGCCAAACCGCAGTGTGGATTTCAAGGTAGTCACGGTGCTGCTAAATATTGTAGAGCACAACATTTATAAAGAACGGCAAAGAAGGGAGCCAAATGGATGTAAGGTATTTCAGTTTCTTAATGCAGAACTTGCTCTGTCAATCCTAGTTTATCATAGCTGTCAGTTACTGAGACTTTTTAAATGGGTATTTCATCTTTTCAGCTTTGTCCCAGAGGAAATGAATATCTTATAAATGGGACAGCTGTATACAAGAATCCCAGGAACACATTTTTATTTATGTTTCTGAGAACTTGAACATTTCATTTGTTAAGTCATGCTAAAAGTTCAAACAACAAACCCAAAAGCGAGACCATCCGGATAACTAACAAGTCTGGGTTGCCAATGCCTGATGTTCATTGTGGAAGAAATATGTGCTAAGTTGTGTTTTCTTAGAGGAGAACATTTCTTTTGTGCTCTCGAATCCCCGGGTGGGAATATTTTAACAAATTTGCTTGTAACATGCCAGTTATTTGAAACAAGAATATTTCCTAGGAATATATCAGATTTGATTAAATTTTTGTAATGGGTTTTGGCAGGAAAGAGCTGGGAGGAGGGGAAGAGATTAAAAAAATGAATGCAATGCGGAGAAAGCAGGGAATTACACATAGTTCTCCCACCATCTACCTGAATGCCTTGATCACCACGTTAATTCATTATTTTGGGGCATGTTTCGCCAGGTTGCTCCTGCT